CACTGAACCCACTCATGGGGGCTCCACCCTCATGGCCTAGTCACCCCAAAGGCCGCACCACCTAATTGCATCACAGTGAGGACTGATGCCAACATGAGTTTGAGGAAATCAAACATTCAGTCCAAGCAGGGCTGTGTCCCTTTGTGCTGTGGTACTGCTGTCTTCAACAGGAGGGAGCCCTCAGAAGCAGGAACTGAAAGCAAGTCGCCAGATCTCTACCCCAGAAACTTGTCGCACAAGAATCTTAAATATCTTGGAGTGACCTTCAACAGGTCATAGAGGAGAAACCAGCAACTTCAGCTTGCAGCTGACCCCTTGGACACCTAGCGTCACCTAGGCTCTTGTGAATTAATGTTGGAAGCCAGAGGTTCCCCCTAACTGGGTTGGGACCGAGAGGCCAGGTCTTAGGGTCTGGCTAGACCAGGGGTGGGCAAACTTTTTGACTCGAGGGCCACAATGGGTTCTTAAGCTGGACCGGAGGGCCGGAACAAAAGCATGGATGGAGTGTTTGTGTGAACTAATATAAATTCAAAGTAAACATCATTACATAAAAGGGTATGGTCTTTTAAGGGTACGGTCTTTTTTTTTTTAGTTTTATTCATTTCAAACAGGCCAGATCCGGCCCGCGGGCTGTAGTTTGCCCACGGCTGGGCTAGACTGTGGGAGAGGGCTCACTTGAGCAAGGAATTCGGCACCAGAAAACTTGGGTTCAAGTCCTGGCTTCTCTTGGACTAGTTGTTTCAACTGGTCACATCATTCCTCTGAGCTTCTGTAAAAATAAGTACTCTAGCCCTGGCCCGCGTGGCTCAGTTGGTTGAGCACCATCCCATGTACTAAGGTTGCCAGCTCGATTCCCATTAAGGCACATGCTTGGGTTGTGGGCTCCATTCCTAGTAGGGCCGTGCAGGAGGCAGCCAATTGATGTTTCTCTCCCCCTCTCTCTAAAATCAATGAAAACATATTTTAAAAAACCCTACCTCTCTGTAAAAAATCAATAAAATATATTTTAAAAAAAATAAGTACATGCTGCATGAGACGGTTTTGAGGCTGAGGAGAGATGATGTTTGGGAAAATGCTTTGAGAGCTATAGGCACAGCCCTGGCCAGTGTGGCCCAGTGGAAGGGCATCGGGCCTGCACACCAAAGGCTCTCAGGTTTGATTGCAGATCAAGGGCACATACTGGGGTTGCAGGTTCGTCCCCCGGCCCCTGTCAGGGCATGTGCGGGAGTCAACCAATGGATGTGTCTCTCTCACATAGATGTTTCTCTGTGTGTGTGTGTGTCTCTCCCTCCCTACATCACTCTCTCTGAAAATCAATGAAAAATAGCCTGGGGTGAGGATTAAGACGAGAGCTATCAGGCACAAGACAAACAGCACTTAATAGATTCCTCTTGCCTCTGCAGAGCGCGACCCCCAGTACCCCGTGTCCCCTTCCGAAGAGCAGGGAGTAGCCGCTGCAGTTCCTTCCAGCGCCACTGGGTGGACTCTAGCTAAGCACAACCCCTGCCTGGCGGCTCCTCTTAATGCCACCCCCACCCCCAAGTCCTAACCCTGCGCCCCAGGTCTGGGAGATTTTGTAGCTCTTGTGTCCGCCAGATGGAGGGACCGAAGAGATGCTTTCAGGAAGCCTTTCTCAGCAAATTCCTCACAAAGTGTGGGCCCGCCCGCGGGCTCTGACCTCAGGTCCGCCTCGGCCCTTTGTCTTCACCCACCTGTGCTCCACCCTGGCTGAGAGGTTTCTCCGCTCACCATTTTGCCCCATCTCACTAACTGCAACCTCTACCGCTGAGCCAGGCGTCCCCGGCCGTGTCCTCCGCCTCTGTCCCCCGACACCGCCTCCTAGAGCCGGGCTAGGGGGTGGGGGCAAGAAATCCCCAAGAGGAGCATCTGTGTCAGCCAGCGAGGCCCGTCTGGGAGGAGCCCGGCTGGGGATCAGGCGTTCGGGGCGCTGCCTTGCTGTCACCAGCTGGGGGGCCTTAGCCGAGACTTCTCTCTGCGTTTGCACCTGTGGAAGGCGGGGTGCGGACACCACGGCCACTGCAGCGACTGAGCTGGCAGCCTGGGTCAGGGGGAGACGCCCGTGAACCTCAGCCGCCTGGCCCCACAGAAGTGGCCTGGCCCCCTCTCTCCACTCCAGCAAGCGCTTCCCACTAGACCTCCACTCTCCTGCCAGGACGGAGGCCGGTGGCCACCTGACCACAGGCCCATCTGAAGCAGCAGGGACCCACGAAGCAAGACCCAAGTCCGGGTGGACAAGCCTTTGGCCTGAGCCGTCCTACAAT